CTTCAACTAGATCAGGTTGCTCAGAGCCCCGGCCAACCTGACCTGGAATGTTTCCAGGGATGGGGCATCCACCCCCTCTCTGGGCAACCTGGGCCAGTGCTTCACCACCCTCAGCGTAAAACATTTCTTCCTTCTATCTAGTCTGAATCCTATGCTCTTTAGTTTAAAACCATTCCCCCTTGTCCTATCGCTACAGGCCCTATTAAAATTTTTGTTCCTTTTCTCTTTAAGACAGGCAAACCAAAACAAGCTGAAGCAGTTTTCATCAGTATACACTTCAATTTGGAGCCAAAAAGTCACTTTGAACCCAAACCCATGTTTTGGTTCCAATGTTTTTTGGAGGAGAAAAACTATTAGTCAAAGACAACATTTTTCCATGTAATCAACGTTAACTGACCTGTTCTCTCTTTTTTGTTCCTTTTCTCTTTAAGACAGGCAAACCAAAACAAGCTGAAGCAGTTTTCATCAGTATACACTTCAATTTGGAGCCAAAAAGTCACTTTGAACCCAAACCCATGTTTTGGTTCCAATGTTTTTTGGAGGAGAAAAACTATTAGTCAAAGACAACATTTTTCCATGTAATCAACGTTAACTGACCTGTTCTCTCTTTTTTAACCCTTTTGGCAGAGGAGAGAAATAGCTGTTTGCTCAATTCTTGCCCTGGATGGGCAACCACTGGGCTGGGGTGCCCCGGCTGCCGCTGGCCCCCATGACGGCCATGCTCTTCTCTTCCAGGTGCTCCTTTTCAAAGGTCTCAGCATCCCCATGCTACCTCCTGCCGGCACTTCCACCTGGGTCCCCAGCCTCAGCTCTCCGCCGACTTCACCCTGCCTCACGCAGTGCAGCCCCAGCCGGGGCTGACCCCCCACATGGCCCCCGCGCACCAGCACAGCGGCCCCCTGCACCAGCCCCTGGCGCCGGTGCCAGCCCTGCCCTTCCAGGACGTGGCCGGACCCTCCTTCCTACCTCAGGCGCTTCACCAGCAATACCTCCTCCAGCAGCAGCTCCTCGAGGCACAGCACCGCCGGCTCATGCCCCATCCCAGGTAAGGGGGTCTTACTCGTCCCGAAGGATGCTGAGAAGCTACATCAGCCTCACTTCAGCAAAGTGGCTTCTGCAAAGCCCCGGCAGTATGTGCTAGTAATGTTGGGTTTTCTTCACAAGTTCATCTGTGTACCACTAAAATGCATCCACCAGAAGGGAAGCTGAAGGGCAGGTTGCACCTGCAGGTGTACCTTTCCCATGGGGATCCATACTGTGCTCATCTAGTATGTCCCAAGGTCACCTATTATTGTCACTCGTAGGAGAATCATGGTGGTAACACCTTGGTGTTGCAGTGAACCTGTCCTGCATGGCAGAGAGAGCAATAAACTGCGTGCACAAGCTACCTCCTCATAGCTGCTGTTTCAAAACCATGTAAGAGATTGTATCCACCTGTCCTGTCAGGTTTTACACATGAAGAGCTTGCTCCTCTGGGTCTAGGTAGGCTTCCCAGATCTATGAGGGAATGACGCTGTTGACCTGCAGCACATTCAGTCACGGAAAGCAGCCTAAATTCAGACTGGGCTGACGACTGCAGAGAGAATTACTGTAACGCAGCAGAGGTGGAAATGGATGCCTGGCCTTGTCCTGGTTGTGTTTCTTGAGGAGGGGTTTAGATAGCACGTAGGAGAGGAGTGCTTTTTTTGGAAACATATGGAAGCTATTTGTGGGTTGTACCCATGGATCAAGAATCAGAGGATGAGTCTTTGTGATAATGCTTCATTTGGAAAGAATGCTGCAGACAGAAAACACTTTCTTTCCATAGTCTTTCTGTCTGAAAATTGTGTGCTCTTCTCATCCTTGTTTTGTTTTGCATAAGCTGGATTTTAGGTGAATTTAATGATTAGTTAATAATTGGGTAGCAAATATGTGCGAGGCTGAGGCACTGATGATACAAGTGTTTCTCTCTTAGTCATAAGCTGAATTCAAATAAAAGCACGGAACACAAGTCCACGCAGAAGCTGCTTTGGTAAATGCTGTCAGTGTTCCATTTGTAAGTGGGCTGTGGTGTGGAAAAGGGCAGGAGCCCCTTGCCCGGTCCCACAGGCTGTTTCTGAAGGCACAGCTGCATCAGAGGAGGGTGTCAGAAACCTTATAGGTGTGGGGCATGAGGTCCCAGTAACGGGATTCTGGGTCATGCCTTTAAAAGTGAAGCCTCTGAGCTGTGGCTGCATGAAAAATTCTTTATCTAGCAGTTCTCTGCTCCATTTGCTCTAGTGGTTTCCCGTAGATTTACTTTGCGATGGCCCCGCTGGTAAGCAGGGACTCGGCAGGGAGCAACGGGCATGCGTCTGTTTGTAGTGCAAATCCTGCTCGTGCATCCACCTTGTCTCTCTCCAAATGTGGACACTGATGAAGAAGCACGTGCTCTTTCCCTGAGTAGTCCAAATGGGCAATAATCACGAGAAGAGACTCAAATCCCTAGAAAAACCTCGCTGTATTTTCTACCACTTTCCTTTCCCTGCTTGTAAAGGCAGCAGAGCTGGGGGAGAAGGAGCTGGATCCCAGGCTGGCCTGTCCATCATCCAGAGAAATGTTGGCAAAGGCCAGCGAGAGTAAATTCTGCTTTCAGTTACTCCTGAGTAATCCTGTTATGAATGAGGTTCCCCAGGAGTTTATGGACTGCACGGGGAGACAAGACAACCTGCAGCTTCTTTATGATGATGGATAACGGCTGAACCAGGGACACATTTTGTCTTGTGTTGTTTATGGGGCTGACAGTGGAGAAAAAGAAAACAGTGCAAATGGTACAAAACTTCCAGGGAAGAAGTTGTTTGGTTTCCTCTTTTTCTCTCCATGTTGCCGCGAAATAGCATCTCTTGTAAACTGAGTGTATGTGGATGCTACAGGGGGTGAGAGTGGAGGTCTGAGTTATGTCTGTGGTGACCATGAGTAAGTGACATAGCTCTGGGTTCCTTTTTCCATTATCCTTGACACCTGCTTGGACTCTTTTCTCCGGGACACATATTCACAAGCCCAACTGTTTGGGTTTTCCCCTGGTTTATTGACACGGGCTCGGAGCCGGAGCCGTACGTACCAGTGCCCCCTGCATGGCTAACTCGCCTGCTGGTCTCCTCCTCCCCGCAGGCGGGCTCAAGAGCGCATGTCCGTTCAGCCTCACCGGCTACACCCCAGCTTTGACTTCAGCCACCAACTGCAAACTCCACAACCCATGGGGCCCCAGCCCAGGTATTTAGCTGAAGGCACGGACTGGTAAGTCTTCCACGTTTCACTTGTGTGTTGAATGAGGTCTTTAAAAAGTCCTGGGGAGGCTGCAGGGGTTGCTGAATGTCATCACAGATCAACGCTTTCATGAAAGCTAATGGTGCAGCTCAACAGATACAACGTGGGGAGCGTGCAATGGGAAAACTCATCTCTGGGAGGGCCACAGGTGCATGCTAAAGCCTTTATGCATGTATATGATAACATCGAGGCATCGATATTGCCCATAACTCTCCATCCATGGATGTAGAGTGCAGCCAAGCATTAATCTTCCTCCAGGGGCTTTTCCCACTGCAGGGCACAGACAGGATCTTTTTCCCGTAGACCAACGTCTCTGCCTGAACTAGATCTTCTGCTGTCCACCAGGCACTCAAAAAACAGTGGCCACAACTTTTTCTGTGGTCTAAATTAGGGAGCACGGTGCTGCCCTTCCCCACAGGGTGGTGTGAATGAATTAATAGCTGTTAATTGTTCTCCCACTGTCGTGTTCGATACCCTGGAAAAGCCAAGCAGCGAACTGATCGTTTCGCTTTCAGAGCAGGTTTTGAGCTCTTGCACAGTTAATAAGGTATGGGGGCCCTACTTGGAAGAATAAGAAAATAAAAACATACTTCTGAGTAGCTGTTTGTTAGCTGAGCAAAGTCCATTCTGTGCACTGAATGGAAAAAATAGCATGTGAACATGTAATTAGAGACAATCGCAATGTATATGCACAAGGGGACCGAAAGAAAATGTCACAGGAAATCTTAATTATGGCATTTCCTAACATCTGAGCACTTTGCTCTGCAAATGGAGAGTCCTTTTAACACAGGGTTGGGGTTTTTTCCCCCTCCGGGGTAATAATATACAAACTAAAATATGGCCAGATCCTTCTGCCATTTTCTTCTCAGGTGTTCCCATTACTGGCACCACCGTGAGCTGAATTTGGCCGGGATGACATTGTTCGGATCAGTTTGCAAAGCGGTTCACGTACCATCTGGATAGAACCATTCTTTCTGCCTCTCTTTCAGCACAGAATGTTTAATTATAACCGTTAGAAGGATCTGATAAAGCATCGCTTTATGTTCCCCTCCTCCTCCCTCCTTTTCCCCCCTGTGTTGCTCCATAGCCTTATAAAACCTAAGGAGTGGCGATGACAGAAATCATATACTGTGTACATATATTTGGGTGACTCACTTCCCCTTGGGGCACATGTACAGTTTTGCCCAGTGACAGATATAAAAACTTTCCTCTAATGTGCTACCACTGCACGAGCAGCAGCAGCGCTGGCTCGGAGGCGGTAGGTGGTAGGCACTGTCGCGGGAAATGGGGATGGAAGGAAGATCTGGAGGTGATCAGTCATCTCAGACAGCCCAGCCTCGATTAAAATCTTCTGGTGAAGAAGAAATAAACACCCATTTGGTTCCTTAAATCATCTCCTGCATCTGCATTTAGTGACGACCATCCAACCTGTTATCTGGGTCCTTATCTTTCACTTTTTGGTTGTTGGCAGCCCGTGTACCATAGGCATCATAGCTCTTGAACCTCGCACCTGAGCATCAAGATGCTGTACAGTTGTCCATGTAGCACACACCATGTAGAAGGTGATGGTTGGTTCTGGTTTTCTTCTGCTAATGTGCTCTGCTTATTCACCTGCAAACCCTGAGAAAACCCTGTTCCATGAAGTATTCTGCTTTGGGCCCTTCTGTAGGCCCACAGCATCACTTCAGGAGCCTCAATATCTGATTTTAACTATCTAGATGCACCGGTGCACAAACAGTTCAGCAGTGCTGTTATTGCAATTACTTGAGCAAGTTAATAACGGCCGTTCATCTTTGAGAGATCTCTTCAGTCCTTGATCTCAAAGCACTCTGTGGATTATCGCATCTATTTTGTAGACAGGGAAGATGGGAAGGCAGGGAGGAAGTGGTCAAGGTCATACATCAGGCCAGTGACAGGGCTGGGAATGGACTCAAAGCCTCCTGATTTCCAGTTAAGCCTTCCATCCACCTGGGATCAGTCTTCAGCAATTCGATAAATCTCCAAAATTGTGACACGGGAACTGGAAATGCTCAGTCCTGAGGATTCTCACCCTGGCTGTGTTCCTGCCAGTTGCTTGCTGTGTTTTATCCTCTGCCAATCTTGTCTGTCTAGGACGTGGCTAGCACAGGGCCAGCAAATATAGTCCCTCTCTTTGCTTCAGCTTGCTGCAGGGAGACTTATTGGGGAGTATTGAAGCACTGGAGCTGCTGCCTGGTACACAGGCTGTTCTGGGTAAAGGATTTCTGCATTTACTGTCCCCTCATGTCTGCTGTTGGATGAACACAGTTACACAGCTGCTGGAGGACACGTCTGGGTTGCTCCTAACAAGCCGTGGTGCTCGCTGCTACCGTCCTCTGTGGAGGGGAAGAGAAGTGCGAGGATGAAACGGGAAGCCACCCTTGGGCTCTAATTAGCTTAGCTTTGGCAAATGTGAAGACAATGGTTATTAGAGCGCCGGCTTTTGTAATTATGATAAAGTGAATGACATTCAGAGCACTTGTTTGCTGAGACACTCTTTGGCTGGAGAGACGAGGGATCAGCTAATTGGATTATAGATGGAGATGCTGCCTTAGGTCTCCTCCCGTCCCCTCCACATGGCGTGGGGATGGGGTTGCAGTTTGTCTCTGCGTGCTGGATTGGGCAGAGCTGCGGCATTTGCTGGGATCTTGGTCATGCCAGGTCCTGGGATTGAGCTGAGTTATTTTTCTGGAGGAAGAAAGTGCCCAAACTCACCAAGCTGAGCTCCAGCTCTGCTTGCCCGGGCCAGGCCACGTGCGGGCAAGTGGGACCATCGGGGATGTCCTGCTTCATTGGCGTTGGCCTGCTGGTTGTGCAACACGCTTTCCTACAGCAGTCTCATCCAGAAATTTCTTAAAACCTTTACATTTTCTGCACAAACAGCAGTTCTGGAGTTCCCTGAGGCTGGGTTCACGTGAGGTGCAGTCTCCCTTGTCTCCCCGAGTCCTACCATGGCCTGGGTGGGGAGACCTCCAAGGAGAGTGCAGGCACATCAAAAAGCCCCCGGATGGTGCCTAGCTGGCTCCTAACAGCTACCCAGAATGGTTCATCAGTGTGTCCCCTGAGTAATTAGCTGTATTCCTGCAAAATATTCAAGGCAAAATGTAATTGTTTGCAGTGATGGCAGCACAGGGAAGACCTGGTCTGGCCGGGTTGAGTTACTGAGCCTGGGTATCGATCGGAGCCACCAAAATGCTCTTGCTCTGAAATTAGCAGGCTGCGTCTGTGCAGCTCTTGACCCTGGCTAACACAAACGCTAACTGGCATAAAAGCAACCCCTCACTGCTTCGTGCTGGCCCGGTGGGCGATTGCCCAAATTGGAGGAAACTCCCTTCCAAGCAGTAGTATCACCGTGGGCTGAGGAACCCACAGCAGCCCCGAGCCCACCAGTGGAGGTTGCCCTGTGAGCATGACCTGACTTGCTGTAAGCCACGCAATAAAACCCTGCAGTGAAAGCCGTATCTTCATCCTCGTGCCCACAGGGACCTCAGTGTCGATGCGGGACTGACTCACGCCCAGTTCCAGGTCCGCCCAGTCCCTCAGCCCTATCAGCACTACTTAGCTACACCTCGGATGCACCATTTCCCCAGAAGCACATCCTCGACGCAAATGGTAAGTGAAACGCTTTTACTGAGAAATGTTTTATGCATTGTCTGCCAGAAGGCAGTCAAAATAAAGGCTGCTATCTTTCTATCACCTGTCTTCTGTGAATCCCACTTATCTCTGGCCGTGGGAGGGAGAGTCTGCAAGGATAATGTTGCATCATTGCACTCTGGATTAGAGAAAGGAAAGAAAAGCTCAGCTGCTCTGGAAAGATTCGGTCCATCGCATGCAGCACCACGCTCAGAAGATGGTCTGCAAATCCTGGGCAGGATGTGAGAGACTCAGCAGTTATTACCAATAATATTATTAATACTGGAACAAATTGTGGGCTCCCAGGACTTTTTGTATGCAGAAGGATTGGCAGTAGGTGACTTCCTTCCCTGGGCTCAGCCCAGAGGACCATCCCTCATCACATCATTGCTCTCCACATCAGCCTTGATGCCATCTGTAAAGCTTTTGCATGACCTCTTCCACAGGTGGAGATGGGGTTTGACAAGAAGATGGGCTGACTGGGGTCATTTGCTGGCCCTTCTCCTAGCAGGGTGCTGTATTTGGAGCTAAGCCATGCCAAGCACTGCTAATCCTTAAAGCATCCTCAGAAATCCCACGAGGGTGTTTTTTCCTCGTGACCGTAGTCGGACCCTGACACCTGTGAGCTACAGTGAGGCTTAAAAAATCAAAGCTTGCATGAAGAGAAATCCATCCATTTAAAACTAAATAAAATAAAATCTCTTTTTAAGCTAATCCATGTTGAGAGTTTGGAACTGCAATGTTTTAGATGCGATAGGAATTATTATAACAGAGAGTTTATTGAGAAGAAACGCATGTTCTTAGTTATCATTTATAGGAGATCTATTTAATAAAACCTCATTTTTTGTTTATTAAAAGGCTTCCGTTGGGGAAGGTGTCGGTCTGCTCTTTCATTTTGAATTTTTAAAGCACTAGAGTTAAATCAGGGTACACAAGGGATTTCTGTGTGCAAGTACAGGTGGCTTTATTTTTCTCCCTCACTTCTCGCAGGTTGTTCACGAAATCAGAAATTACCCTTATCCTCAGCTTCAGTTACTTGCTCTTCAGGGACTGAACCCAAGCAGGCACACGTCCGCTGTGCGGGAGAGCTATGAAGTACGTACCTTGGGGACTGGAATTATTATTAAATTTTTAAGTGCTGGGAATCTATGCAAGCTCTGGCGTAAACTTGTAAGACTGTTTTGTGGCACGGCAGTTGCATTGAGTCTTGCGGCTATTTTAGTAATTACTGGGGGACGAAGGGGTTGAGTGGGTTTGGTAAAAGATGGTTTACTCCAGGGTGCCTGGGTCTGGCTCAGGTTGACTCTGGCTCACTTCATGTCTGTGAACAAAGTGCTTCAGTTCTGTGGGGTTTTGTTTCCCAGCCTGTCAAACAGAGCTCAAATTCCACCCTAATTTCTGAAATATTGGATATCAAGCTCTCTGCCTTGAGCCCTTACTTACTAGCCCAAGAGCCAGGGCTCAGATTCATCATCAAAGCATGGCTGATTTGGGTTTGATGGACATTTCCACCAAGGAGAGGGCAGGAGGGAGCCTTGGTCCCCAGCAGGTGGGGTGGGGTGATGGGACCTCGTGCCCCGGGAGCAATGCTGATGGTGCTTTGCTGCTGTTCCTGCGCCGCAGGAGCTGCTGCAGCTAGAGGACAGGCTGGGCAGCGTGAGCCGGGGCGCCGTCCAGAACACGATCGAGAGGTTCACCTTCCCCCACAAGTACAAGAAGGTGAGTGCCCCAAAACCGTGGCACGACTGCCAGCCCCCCTCAGTTGGCCAAGGGTTGTGGGCACGGAGCGGACAGAAGGAATGACTTTGGTGGGTCGCAATCCTCAGGGTTGGCAAACTGGCGCTATCAATGTTCCCCAAAATAGGGGAGGAATGTAAAATCCACAATTGGTGCTTTAATATCTTGTGGGGCTCCCGGGCAGAAGCGGTGGTGTAGCTCAGCTGGCTGTTTCTCACTTCTAGGCTAGGAAGCTGCGGGCCAAATTTTCAAAAGGGTCTCAACCTTCTCCCACCCAGCGGGTGCAATTTCCCCCCTGTCCGCACCTGGTAAGAAAGTGCTCACACCAAGGGGGCTTTGTGCATGCAAACCCACCCCATTTTGCATGCAAGCGGCGTTGCCCGCACGCCCCGCCGTGAGGGCGCTGGCTCCATGGCATGGGGGAGCTTGTCCTCCCCTCGTTTTGCAAGAGGTGTCTCCTCTGTTGGAGCTGATCTCCTGCCCATAAGGAAACGGGTGCCATGTTTTTCGGTCATGCTAAATAGAAAATGGGAAAAGTGCTTGTTTGCGTAGTAATTTCACATGTTGGTCATTCCCGGCTGGGCAGTAACAAGAAGGGACATTGCATTGCCCAGGTTGGAAGTGAGTCAACTCCTGCATCTCCAGTGGATCCAGAAAAATGATATTAATAGGAACGGACGCGTGGGGGGAAGAGAAAAGGGGAGAGCTGACAGGTTAAGCACTGCCCCATGGTGCAGTGTGGGGCTGGGCCAGTGGCCAAGCTGGCATGGGGCACAGTGATTGCCCTTCCTGGCAGTGGTGGCCCCACATGCTTTGGGCTCTCCAGGAGAAGCCTCCAGCAAAGGAGACCATGGGGCCATCCCCACTGCAAGGAGGATGGAGGAGGTGTGGGGGGGCTGTGTTAGGGCAGCAGAGGACAGGCTGCTCCTTGGGGCACTAGCACCAGCCCCACTGCCAGTGGTCCCAGGAGGAGACGTGCCGACCAGCAGCATGTTGGTGGCATCCTCCCCTCACTGGCTGTTTTCGCTGGGCTGGCTTCCCCAAGCTGGAGGATCTGGCTGATAGACAAAGCTCTTATTATTTGCCTTCCTGCAACTACCCAGGCTTGGGAGAGCATTAGAAAGTCAAGTCCTAACCAAATTATGTCTTCAACCTTGCTGCAGAGAAGACCGCAGGAGGGCAAAGCTGAGCAAGAGGATGGAGAGGAGTCAGACACCGACGAGAAATGCACAATCTGTCTGTCCATGCTTGAAGACGGAGAAGACGTCAGGTACGATCCTTCCATCTGCTCCTCTGCCCCTCAATGCCATCTGAGTTGCGTTTATCGGGATTAATGTCGCCATGCGCTGGGGGGGTTGTCCCTGCTCTCGTCCTGATAACTCACTTGGGCTGTCGCAGGGTCTGGGAAACCAAATGCCATTTAGATGGATGTTGGTATGGGCTGTAGGTAGGAAGAGCTCTGCAGCAGCAGGAAGGCCAAGTTTTTACAGTATCTCCTGGGTTTGGATCACCTGCTTCAAGGCTGCGCCAATGGGCCAGGTGGCAAGTGTCAGAGAAGGATGGGTCCCAGGTCTCAGACAGCCATCTGGAGCTCGGGAACGTCAACATCTGAGCTTGACAGATGACCAAAGTACGATAAAAGGGAGTGTGGGTGTGAAGTCCAGGGGTGTTTGGCTTGTGGCCAGGACAGAGCTGCTTCATTGTAGAATAAGTGAGATTACTCTGCCTGCACGGTCACAGGGAGCCATCCTGAGCCAACAACAAAGCCCCGGTTATCCCTCACAGACGTCCCCAGGCTCTTGGCTGGGTCAAATCTCTGCTTGTGACAGAGGATGGGGACAAGCAACTGCAAGGGGCTGAGCTACCACGGCTGAAGGAGCTGCAGGTGGGCAGTGCAGCTGCACTACCTGGTCCTGCTCCTCACCCTTTAATTGCCTTAAACCATCAAGGAAAACTCTGATCCTCTTGCCGTGGGTCCTTGTGGTTCAGGGTCCCTCTGGCTCAAGAGGGTGACTGAAGAGATGACAAAGGTGATGTGGGTGAAAAGCAACCACATTCCCTGGGGCACACCAGACACCCACATGGGAGCGTTGGGGACCCACCCGACTGCTAACAAGTCACAATGGTGAAGAACCAAGAGGCTCTGGAGTATAACCTAATACTCCTGAACGGTTAAAAAGCAGCAGCCAGGGTAATTAATAACTGGAACAACTTAATTCAGGAGGGCGTGGGGTTTTCTAAAAGGCTTTTAGCCAAGAAGGACACCATCCCTGACCTACTGCTCTATGTGAGCTGGCGTGGCTGGGGGAGGGTGTAGGACCTAGGCAGCACTGGTGTCATTACATCGGTGCTCCCCCATGTTTGAAGCAGCCCCAGCTGCTGCTTTCTGGCTATTCTTGGTCCCCTGGACCTCCTCCATCCTAACGGGGTGGTATTTCTCTCTCTGCAGGCGGTTGCCCTGTATGCATCTCTTCCACCAAGTGTGCGTGGACCAGTGGCTGGCCACCAGCAAGAAGTGCCCGATCTGCAGGGTGGACATTGAAACACAGCTTGGCTCGGACAGCTGAAAGGACTGGCTGGACACACCATTTTCCTTACCAGGTCATATGGCCATAAATCCTTGCAGCAAAATTTTTGCCTTCTGAGCCATTTGATTGAGAGGAAAAGTCTGCAGGCACGTTAGTGAGGAGGAGGAGGTGGAGGTGGCGGTACAATATCTAGCAGTAGGAGATATTGCACATACGCAGGATACGGGCCCGGTGAAAGGGAGCTGGCATTCCCGGAGCTCAGAGACCCCGTGCTGCAGAAGATTTAGTGTTGAACATGAAGGAACTAGTTGTGGTAGTCTGGCCTGTCAATCCTGCATTTCATGAGGATTGTATATATACCTCTCGAATACGTAGAAACATGTTAGGGGTCCTTTAGCTATTTCTATGGATGGCAGCTGGAGCATGTTAGCTTAAGAAATGTTGTGTTTGATGCCCTACTCATCTTGTGGTGGACATGTTGCTGTTACCTAATTTGCACCAAATATTTTTTCATAGATTCCTTATTTTGGTGCCTGATTAATACATTGCAGAGGTGGAATAAAGAGGTCAAGCTTTCCCACCCTTGGGGGGGAAGAGGCGAAAAAGCAAAATCCTGTTTACAGTCAGAAGGGTTGCGCTCTTTGCCTCAGCCGCGTGTGCTTCCTTTCCTTGCGTTTACAGTGTGTTGCAAATTTAGAGAAGCTTAAAAAAATAAAAATTGGGAATGAAATGAATGAAGCAATAGGGAGAAGCTTCGTTCCTGCTTATCTGCTGGTGCTGGACACTTTCTGTGGGGGCACAATATTGGAGTAGATGCTGTTTCTTTGCTCTCCATATCTTAACGAAGTAGCTTGGCATATCGAAATCCAAGGAAGGGCTGTCTTCATGATTGCCATTGTCCATGACGCTTTCTCCAGTGAACTGCGAGGCTGGTTGGCTTCAGCAGCCGCTGCCAGCACTGCTCCAAAATGATGGTTACTGGAGTCGGCGCCTATAGCTGTGCTTTGGGGTATAATAATGCTGGAGAGGTGCTGAGAGACGTACGCTGCCGACTCCTCTCCCATGCAAAAGCATCTCTGATAACAGGATGGGAGAAAACTCGATGCTCGCAAGGCACTGCTGAAGCCATGAGCATTTTGGTGTGGGAGGGGACAGCAGGTTGGGAGGGGGGTTTGCTGCTTTCCGGAGGGGCTGGGTTGTAACCCTGCCTCAAAGCACATGCACCTGCACCCGCCTGTGTTTGTATACACATTTCAGGCCGTATCTGTACGGAGAACGGAGTGGTTGTTCAAATGAAACCTAATTGCGTTAATGCCCAAAACAGAATTAGGAGGTAGTCCCCAAAGGAATGGGCTGTTGTGATCCAAGCTCCCGCTGAAATAAAGACCTCAGCATACTAACCACAGGGACCGAGCTGGAAACCCTCCGGAGAACCGGCATTCACAACCAAAACCACTTTTTTCCTTTTTTTTTTTTTAAATACTTTTTTTTTTAAATACTTTTTTTTTTAAATACTTTTTTTTTTAAATACTTTTTTTTTTTTTTCCAATTGGGATGAAGCCCTCTCCTTTCTTTGGTATGTAAAAATGCAAAAAGTATTTTTCCCACATCTCTGATTTGTGGAGAAACCGTTCACAACCAAAACCCCTTTTTTTCTTTTTTTTTTTTAAATACTTTTTTTTTTGCACACTAGGGGAGCAAGAGAAAGATACCAAGGAGCAAGGGGAATTAGTCGGGAACATTATATATTGAAAATGCTGATGAGGTGGGGATGATTTCTGGCTCCCCTGAGCATCCGTTTCGCTGGAGCCAAGTGATGCTCTCTGAGTAGAAACAATCATTGCACACTAGGGGAGCAAGAGAAAGATACCAAGGAGCAAGGGGAATTAGTCGGGAACATTATATATTGAAAATGCTGATGAGGTGGGGATGATTTCTGGCTCCCCTGAGCATCCGTTTCGCTGGAGCCAAGTGATGCTCTCTGAGTAGAAACAATCATAAATAACTGTCGGAGAGAGTCGGAGAGATCGTGGGATTCCCGTGAGCTGTAATTGGAAAACACCAACCTCAGAGGCACCCCAGGGATTTTTTTTTTTTTTTTACCAACTGGAGGGGGGGGGGAAAGAGGGGAGCCCCGCAGGGTGCAAGGATGCAGGAGCCCCTCTCTTGTTGTGTCCATGGAGGTAGGAGGGAGTGGAGGGGGACACATGGTGGCACATAAGGAAGAAATGGTTCACGCTGAGGGTGGTGAATCACTGGCGCGGGTTGGCCGGAAAGGGGGGGGATGCCCCATCCCTGGAAACATTCCAGGTCAGGTTGGACAGGGCGCTGAGCGACCTGATCTAGTTGAGGATGCCCCTGCTCGTTGCAGGGGGGTTGGACTAGATGGCCTTTAGAGGTCCCTTCCGACCCAAACCATTCTGTGATTCTGTGATATATTTGCCACCCACTGCAAGCAATGGCTTCTTAGGGGATTCAGCAGTCCCAGCCCCAACCGGAGGGCTGCGGACTCCTTGGGTCAAGGAGTGGTCCATCAATACCTATGGGGCTTGCTCCAGCAGCAGCAGATTGAAGCAGCATTAAAAATAATACTAATATTACTAATAATATGGACAAGCAAAGCAAGGCTTTGCTGGTAAAATACACTGTAATCCGGTCTGGTCTGTCCAGGCGTGAGCTGGGGGCGAAGCAGGGGGAGGAACGGGGCAATTGGGACCCTGGCTGGGTGGGGAGGGAAGGAGAAGCGCTTCCGAACCGCGCGTTTTCTTAAAGCCTATGCGAAAGTATTACTATTTGCCTAATGAACAAGCACAGTTTTTAAAAAAAAAAAACAAAAAAACCAACCTTGGTGAAGAAAAGCACCAAACTCCCGTGGTCTCGTGTGAGTGACTGATCCCGAGGTGCGTGCGAATTTACAGCGTCTGGAGTTGCATCGGTGTGTCAGGTTCCTTTGCGTTTAAATAATTTGTACGAGTAGGTTGCGACAATAGGGTGAGTCTAAAAACAAAATGAAACAAACAACAAAAAATATCTAGGAACAAAACATTGATAGTTTACAGGGTTTTGTGAGTTTAAATGCCTTATATTTAACAATCATAATTTATGACTAACTTGTAGATATCGTGGGTTCTTATTTAATTATTTTTATAGTTGTTTTTTGCATTTTTAATTATAATTTATTTATTTAGAAATTAATACTAATTTTTTTTATTACTCCTATTACCTCATTTTTGCATTGTTTCTGGGAATGGAATGCTTTGCATGCATCGGTACTTTAAAAAAAAAATTAAACATGGGATGTGGGGGGTAATGCTTATCTTGTCAAAAAAAAAAAGAGAAAAAAATCAGGGTGTGTGATTACAAACTGTATTACTGTGGTGCTGTTACCTTGGATACATTCCATAAAAATGCAAACCTTTGATTCTGTATGCTGTGACATAGTGGAAAACTGCAATATAGTGACTGTGTTTAGCACATATATATGAATATTATTTGCACTCATAATCAAACTCTGGTGATCCTTTCACTTGCGTCCTTGCGCATTGAAGGCCATTAACGGCGCTCTGCAAAACCAAAACGTTTCGGTCGATTCCTGCTACCGCCCTGTCCCCGACGCCGCTGGTGATGCTACTGTTCTTGCTGCATGCGTTACCCTGCAGTAACACCCGGCGGGCCCCCGCTACAAGGCTGTGCTTGGGGCAATGCATGCATTTAGTGCAAGATTCTGCAAATTGCTTCAAAGCCGAGGCAGGAAGCCCAGGCGTGGTGGCTCTGTTCAATTTTTGGTGCCTATCGGTGCTCGGTCTGGCTCTTTTCACCCTCTGTGCATGCACCCAGCTGGGCGCTGCAGGGAGGATGAAGGAGGCAATCAATTGAGCCTGAGCTTGGAGGCAACAAAACCAAGGGATTCATTGCAATTTATAAGTGTTGACCCCTGGTCTAGCTGAGAGGGACTGGGATGGATGTGGGAGCGATTCGGGATCCCTTTGTAATGCCTGGCCGTGGGCATTTGCTATAACCCAGCCGCAAAACAACGCATGGAGCACAATCCCTCTTCTTGAAAACCTTACGGTTGGTTTCATCCCCCCTGTTGAGGGGGAAACCTCAACTTGAAGCTTTTTAATCCACTGTAGAGCTGGGACCTGCACCGGAGCCCTCCTGTCCCCAAGGAGGGGGCCAGCCCCAAGCTGACATCCCGCTCCTGCAGCGGTGGCCAAGCATCCCCACCCCCAGCCATGGCCACGCCGCTCTCGCAACGCACTGCCCTTTCTCAAAAGGCTCCCGAATATCAAGTGCTCAAGCCTCGCAAGGGGGTTAGAGCACCTTTGATAATATTTTAAGCTTTAAGCCATAACCGCTCTTGGTCAGCGTAGATGCTCGGCCATGCATGGACAGAAGTGGGGTTCGATGCACGTGCTCAGCCAGTAGCCGTCCGTCCCCCCCAAAAAACTTTGGATGCAATTCTCTTTCGGGTTAGAAAGGCACAAAATAATGACTGTACCTTAATTTTTTTTTCTCTCTGTCCCTTCAGGGTGCTGCTCTGCTTTGTTGACTTTGCCTTACCCTGGGTTTAAAATCTGTCTGTGTTTTTTTCCTTGCTGCTCTGTAACACTCCTCCCCTGAAGCCTGGAGCTGCGGTTTTGAGCCGTGTGGGGACAGGGGGGTCGGTTGTTCCCCCCACAAAGACACTGTAAAAGGGATAAGTAAAACAAGGAATGAGCGAACAAAAATCCTCTCCTTTAATGACCTGGGCTGGTGAAAGGATCACCCACATTTTTGTACTCCTACTGCTGTTCTGTTGTGCTGTGCAACATTTTGCTACATAGACTATTTTATAGAAGAAAGCTAGAAAAATATTTATTATTAATATTAAAGCAATAGTGCATTGAAGAAATGAAAAGACATTAGAAATTGTGTAAATGCTTAGATTCACTTTTGGTGGATTTTTTGTACTTTATTTATAACTAATAAAACAAACTGCATTGCTAACTATAAACCGGTGCCACACAGAAGTCACCTGGCAGGGCGATCACTTGGTCTTTATTTACCGCTCATTTCTTGTTTCTTTGGGTCAGAGTCAATTCTTCTTTCACTGCTTATGCTTTTGGACTTTGATGTGCGAAAAAGACACCGCTGGGGCATAAAATACCCTGCCCAGCTGGTTTGCAGAGGCTGTTGGTGCTTAAGCTCCATGGCAGAGACGAGGTGAGGCTCTCCACACTGGGCACACCACTGTGCGTGATGTCCTGTGGCATCAGTTTTGTAATTAGGAACCAAAAATCACTTTCTAGAACCAGGCTGGAAGTTGCGTATTAAAAAGAGATTTCTCCTCTAAACACATCCCATGGTGCCTGTAGGATATCTCTAGCAAGTCCTGCAGAGATACCGACAGGTCCTCCATCCTCCCGGTGGAGAAGCATCTCCCTCCACGTGGGTCTCCTGTTTAATGACTAAGGAAAGAGAAACTTATTGGAAGGAAAAAAAAAAAATCCTCCAAACTAATACAGATATATCTGAGGGTATTTTCAATCCTTTTGTTACCTGTTGGAGAATCCAATGGGCCATACACCCAACTTTGCATCCTGCACAGCTCATTTCATGGGTCTTCTTGCACTTTTATTTTTTCCCCTCAATGAATGGTGCCGGTCTCTCCTCCTACCTACTCTCAATTTGGCTGTTCCTCCTCATGCATTTCACGTAGA